ACTGAGGCAACCACACTTTCTGAAAGGCTCAGCATGGCTGCTTCAAGAACTTTGCAAGGGTGCTTCAGCATGCATGTGCATGCACAGCTGCTTCACCTAGCCATCAGTCTCAGCAGAACAAACTGTGGTCTGTATATGCATCAACTTGGAGAAGCCTTCGGTATATTAAAAAAATAGAATCCAGGAAGATCAGGGTTAGGGAATTGTATCTGCTCCAACAACTGGATTTACCCATTGTCAGAGGCTTCATGTTTCTAGGGCAGATAATGGGAGGACAGGAGAATTTCATTTTAGAAAAGTATGTAATAAACAATATATTTTTTAAAAGCAATGTAATATTATATGGCTTGGCACCAAGAGGCATGCAGGACCACCTTCTCCGGCCAGAGTCAGCCTGTCCAGGAACAACTCTTGGGCATCCCCCAGGAGATGCTGTTTCTCCATTGTACACAATAGTGGGGACAGAAACAATCTCCCTGTCCCCAGCTGGAAATTAGTTTTGCCCCATCAGCAACTGAACTCCTGGTAGCTGATCAAGACAGAACTCTCTCGGAGACCTTTCAGTGGATATTTAGAAAACATTGTTAATTTGCAAAGTTGCTCCTATTTTGTGAATGGTTTGAATGATTTCTTACGTTTTATTACTATGGGTGGTTCAATTCAATTGGTCTAATTAATTAAGATCAAGCAGTGAAGTCACTTCCACCCAGCCACTGTTTTGTTCTCCAAACCAATCACTTCCCAACGCCTTACCGCTGCCTTTATTTTTGCTCCTACAATACCACAAATTGCTCATGTGTTAACCAGCCAGTCAACAGCAAGCCAGCACCTTATTCTCTGTCATTGCCCTAACTTAGCCCAATTAAAAGGGAAAAAAAATTCACTGTAAGGTGGGCATTATTAGAAGCACAGTAAAGGTGCTGCAAGTGCTAAGGCACCTTTATTCTAGTGGGGAGGTGGGAAACCAAGGAGCGTGGAGGCAGGACAAGGCAAGATTCACACCAATTGGAAGCAGCCAGTTTCCCATCTCCAGCACTTCAGCTGCAGAACTATACTTATGTCAATTCCTCCTATATCATTGGAGAACATAAAATTATCTGGCTTGGCTGTCCAAAGGCAACGATAGCACGTGACTGCATAAATGCAGAGTTGATCTAGGGGTGGTACCACTGAGAATCACAACTGAATAATGAGTTGAACCCAGATCTTCTTAACCCTACTCCAGTATATTGCTCACTTAAATGGCTTTCCTGAGTCTGGTCCCTTTGACTAAAGTAATGGCAAGAAAGATCTAATCCTTCCCATCTACCATTTTCCCCCAAATTACCCAACCTCATCTCTTTATCCCTTGAAACTGCAGAGAAGATACAAAGTGTGAGATTGTCAGTGAGAGAATAGTAGATAAAAATTATCTGCTGTCTTTCATGTCTGCTACTATACTACAGTACTCAAAATCCCAGCCTCCACCTCCAGATTTTAGGCACAAGGCTCAGTTAAGAGGTCGTGAGGAAATTGATCTGGCCATAATGACTCATGTCGGTTGACTGAAAGCTTTGCTCAGAAGTTCTCATCAGTGGCATAATACCAGATAAGAAAAAGTATATTATTGTTTACACCTATACAAGACAAATACAATGAAGCATTTTGGAACAATATGACGAAGAATCTATTCTTTGTATACAGACTTTAAAACTTTAAAACTTTAATTCTCAGTTATACTGTCTGCCTGTAATAATATAATATTGAGGTCTCCTGCAGTGTACCCTGAATTATTCATCCAGCATGCTGGAGGACAGTGGAGAAATGGGATGATCCTATCTTTTTGTGCTATCTTATTTTATCTTCATAAGAACTTTGCAAGATAAACTGGGCAGAAAAAGTGAGTAATTGGCCCATGAATCAGCTTTAGAATTGTTCAAGCAGTTACACCATTTATTGTTCTGGTACAGCAGGTGGCAGCATGGAGCTAAACTTGACTGATCTTAAAAAAGCTAAGCAGGGTTGGACTTGGTTGGTACTTGAATGGGAAACCATGAGGAATCCCAGGGCTATATGCTAGATTGGGAAGTGTATCCTGGAAGAAGGCAAAGCTAACCACTTTGTGTTTTTACCAAGGAAACTACATGAACTTCTAGGAGTCAAGCTTATCTTGAGGGAGTCTTTACTTTTATCTTATCTTCTCCTTCATATTGAGCAAGTGGTGGGCAACCTTTTGTCCCAAAAGCTGCCTTGATTGTGGAGTTTGGAGTTGGGTGCCACACATGTGCGAATGCTTCCATTTTGCATACCTGCATCACATTTAAATGTACATATATGTCAGAGATTCCTCTCCCTCTCTCACAACCCTACCTTCCAGTATCCTCTCCACCGACATAATAATGGCTGGCTTCTTGTAGCCAGTAGGAAAAGAAATACAGTCCTTTGCTTCCCACCAGCCAACCATTCCATTGAATAGGGGGGAAAGTAGACAGGAATTCTTGAAGCCCTGTTTGCAGAGATACATATGAATCCTGGGTGGATCATCCCTGTCTTTGAGCTCTGAAATTCTGTTCAGGATGCTGCTTTTCAGGTGTCCATGGCATAGTTTTAATAAGAAGTGGGAGAATTCCACTCAGTAGCAAGATACCTATGTTCATGTTCAATGGAGAGGCATGCAGAGAGCAGCAGAGTGTTTCATCTTCTCTCTGCATATTTCTTAACTGATATGCAGATGGGATGCTTAAACACAAGTTGTGCTGGACATTAATGTATTTGTGAAATCTGAAAAGTTTTGCAGTGATAAAGGTGATGATCATTACTAGTACTAAAGGGCCAAATACCTCTAGCTATTTCCTCAGACGCATTGCAACACTTACCCCTAAGCACTTCCCATCTGACCAGGAAGTCATTTAAATGAAAAAGAGATATTGTTAGGGAGTAATGATACTGTGATTCCTATAAAAACTGTCCCATCACATGCAGGATTGAATCACTTTCAAGAACACCCATGATGCAATTGTTAATTTCAAAAAGAATATTTTAAAACAAAGATGCATTTTCTTGTCTTGGGCTTTCATTTGTTTTATTCTTTTAAGGGTATTCTGACATTAAACCTATGGTCCTTCTTACTGTTAGTTGGAAGCATCGGTTTCCACTGAAAGTTTTCTCTCATATATTCAACTCATCTTTTATTGAATGACAATTTTATTTCTGTTAAAGGATGCTGCTATTCAAGGACACAGGTGGAAAGAGGCTATCCTTCATGTAACCAAATGGAATCTGATAGAAAGCTTTGTATTTTAAACATAGCTCTGCGGGAGTTTTTCTTAATGGCTCTGAGGATTAAATTCTGCTTCCTGCCATATATCTTGCAGCAAGCTAAGAATCTGCATTTCAGCAGATAAAGTTCAGCTCAAGACCTTATTTGACATTCACACACCCATAACTCCCCTTTCCTTAAAGCTCTTGCTAAGCTTCCTGCTGACGCTGCATTGTGCTAGGCCAAGAAGTGGGGGGCAGGGGGAACCACTAGAAGGCAGCACCAAGCCTAGCTCATGAGCATTGCTCCTGTGTTTCATTCACCCCCACCAGTCAGATGGCTAATTACACATTGCCAATAGAAGGATGAGAGACCGTAGCTTTGTATAAAATGTATGTGTGCTAATTTACATATGCAATATACCTTTCGAAAGAACAATTATAAGTGAAGCAAAAATACATCTGACACCATTGTAGGGAACATTGTGACTAGGTGTTTTGTGTGTTTGCTCAATCTGTTGCCCAGTGCTAGCTTTTGATGATAGGCAATATCAAGATTAGCTGATTTGCCTCAGATCATAAAAGCACAAGACACCTTGAAAGGATATTGTAGAGCTGAGAAAACCAATGAAAAGGTCAACTAAAATAAGGAGCTGAGTTGCTCCCCTTAAAAATATGGTGTGTAATACAATATACTGGAAATCATCTCCTTAGGGTTATTCTGGCCCATGTTGATGTTATAATTCCTCTACTGTAGTGCTATCCCAATGAAGTTTTCTTTGAACAATTATTTTGGCAGGATCAGTTTAAAGGCTATGAATATAGTGTGTCTCTTTCTGTTTTTCACAAAGGGGCTAAATGTGTACAAATATATGACTTTAGAAATCTAGGTTAAAGTTACTTCTTTGGATATCTTTCTTTTTCTTGCTTTTTTGTTATTCACTTTTTTACCCTTTTATAATCTTTTTCTTTTTCTATATTGTTTCTATGTTTCTGTAGTTTTTTAAATCTTTGTAAAATCTTATTTTAATAAAAATTATTTAAAAAAAGAAATCTAGGTTATCAACATGTGTAGATTTTTGGATTGAAGAATTTATCTGCAGACACTTACTGTAAATGTCAATGTTTTCCAATCTGATTGTTTTTTAACTTCATTTCTGTTATAAAGTTTGTTTTTCCCAATTTTTTCGGATAACTGTTGTTATCTGAACAGTTCGTAACATATGATATGAATATACGATATAGAATAGTTTGTTAATAGGGTATTAAAAATTAAGCGCAAGGAATCCATATACAAATCTGGTAATAATTTTTATAATGTTGATTCCATGCATTTAAGCCCATCTATGTCCATGGATGGGGGAATCTTTCACTTTTTCATCAGTTTCATCATCCTTGTTTCTGTGAATCTGACTGACTCTGTCCTCAAATCTGAGACTTTTTTTAAATTATCTGAATAAAAATTGTATGTATTTTTGGGTTTTGTGGAGGGAGAACTATTAGGATTTTTCCTGTTTTTTAAATTTCTGCAGTAATTGGGTTTCCCCACCTTTCTAAAGGTTCCATTTTGGCTGCAAAGCTGGCAGCAGTTATCAGCTAAGGTCAATGAGTTTATATTATATGAAAATATGAAAATGGCTTAATTCTGGATGTCAATAAACTGTAGACATCATCCATCTACAAATGGAAATGCTGTTTATCATACTGTATTTATCTGTACAATTTTTATTTCCTTTTTATATGTGTATATATTTTTATTGCAGTTTACTCTTCACAAAAGTAAAACTGGAATTAGCACATAAAGGACCAGAAGAGGCTTTAGTGACCTGTAGACATATGTTGCATCAATGGCAGATGTTGTATAATGTTTCCCAGCAAAGGTAAGCTTTTCTTTAAATTGAAACTGAATTTTCTTTAAATGAAGATGCAAAAAGGGTTGTCTGGGCAGGGCTACTGATGGGAGTTCATATACCTACTGCAGTTTCATACCCCAACATTTCATGAACAGCTGCAAAATAGGAGTCATATTGAATCAAGCCAAAGTGCTTGCTAATCTAGCATTCTGTGTCACACAGTAGCCAGCCAGATTCATGCAGGGAGTTTACAAGCACGGGCAGAGGACAACAGTGTTCTTCTACTATCACACTTCAGTACTGGTATATAAGGAATGCTGTGATTCAGGAGATAGTATTCAACCATTAGGAATAGTAACCACTGATAAGCCTATCGTCCATGGAATTGTTTATTTAAAGCGGTATGACTTAGATTGGTCTCCAATCTAAACTTTTTGCAAAGGACTTCCCTGTATTAACTTTGAATCATTCCTCATTTAGTTTCAATGGCTGAGTTTTAACATGAGAGAAGGAGACAAACTTCTCTCTGTCCATATTTTCCCTTAGTTATTACATTTCTCCATACAGCCATTACATTTCATGCACTGAAATGTATCTACCGTTTTAAAGCACATTCCACCAGTTTGGGGGGGGGGGATGTAATTTAGAGGTTCTTCGCATCCTTCATCATTATTTCCATTCTGAATGATTATGTGTCATCAACAGGCTTGCGCATGTTATTGTTGAACAAGTTAAAAAGCAGAGATCCTAGTGCAGGATGGAATATCAGAAAGAAGTCTAGGCCAGGCCTTTCTAGCAGTCTTTTCTGTTTGCAGTGTGTGTGTGTGTGAAGTAATAGTCCATCATGTGAGAGCACTACATCTTTAAACTGTGATATCATTCCTGTAGGAGATCAGGCATAAATAGTGATACCATCAACAACAGTGCCATCATTGTGCAGATGAGCCAGTATTGACTGTAACAAGGAATAGATTCCAGAAGCAAGGTTATCTTAGCAGCCTGAAATGCTTTCAAGAAATGGAACCAAGCTGGTCTGCAGAGTAACTCTGCCATTGGCTTACAGCCCAGTCAAGGCTTCCCTAAGGGATGGGAATGATCCTGGTGACCACAACATAATTAAGAAGTGGGACAACACCCTACACTACCCATTCCTGGCTCTATTGTCAACCAGTATAATATTTGCTCAAAAATCAAGCCTGCTTGATTTAACCTACCAGGGAATGGGAGAGGAGTGAGCCCCACAGTAACTCAGTAAGGAGACGGGCCAGCAGCAGAGTAGCAGCTGGGAAGGAAGGAAGGAAAAATGAATAAGCCCCATACCAGTCCCTCCAGCTGTCCTGATGGCAAAAGGATTAGCACCATAGTGACATTCCACTGGTCCATATGTGCAGCAGCCACAAGTGTGTCTGGTACAAGATTCTCAAAGTCCTGGGGCTATCTCTGCCATCAGATGATCAAAGAAGAAAGCTTTCCAAAAAACAAGCATTCTTTTTAGGTCTTAAATTGGGAACTGTATATGTGGGCCAGTGGGCTAGTAGATATTATTGTGGGTTATTAGCTTGTGTAAGCATTTTCAAGGCTACTTTGCAAGGCGCTGATGATCATCTATAAAGCCCAAGATGGCATAGGGCCAGGCTACTTGCAGGACTTCCCTTCATGGATCACTGCCTTGTCGTGGTGAAGGGGCTTGCGTAACTCAGTGAAGCCATGAGCTATACCGTGCAGGGCCACCCAAAATGGACAGGTCATGACAGAG